GCCTATCAGTGCCGCCTATATGTGCCACCTCATCAGTGCTGCCTATCCGTGCCACCTCATCAGTACCGCCTATCAATGCTGCCTATCTGTGCCACCTGATAAGTGCTGCCTGTCTGTGCCACCTCATCAGTGCCGCCTATCAGTGCTGCCTATCCATGCCACCTCATAAGTGCTGCCTATCTGTGCCACCTCATCAGTGCCGCCTATCAGTGCTGCCTATCCATGCCACCTCATAAGTGCTGCCTATCTGTGCCACCTCATCAGTGCCGCCTATCAGTGCAGCCTCATCAATGCATATCAGTGAAGGAGAAAAATTGCCTGTTTTCTAAATTTTATTGCTTTTTTTTTTGTTTATAGCACAAAAAATAAAACACCCAGCGGCGATTAAATAACACCAAAAGAAAGCTCTATTTGTGTGAAAAAAATTATAAACATTTTCCAAGGGTACAATATCGCATGACCGTGTAATTGTTATTCAAAGTGCAGCAGCGCTGAAAGCTGGGGGGGGGGGGGGGGGGGGGGGTAGGTGCCCGATAGGCAAGTGCTTAATATGTGATCAGTTGTAGGGATAAGGCGGCAACCCTAGCCAAGCCCCGATGACGTCACTCCCACACATGCCAGTCACTTTTTACGGCACCCATCTGTGAGGGAATGGCATGGACATACTGTTCCTCCAGAACGCATGCGCCGGTGTCTTTAACAAGCACATATCTCCTACACAGTGCAGGTTCAGGTGATATTTACATTATTATTTGCTCACCTGTAGACACAAGTGAAACAAACATCAACTTTACTACCACTAAAGACAATACAGACTTAGACAACGCTGAGGGAAGGGGGGTCACGTGATCCTTTTGAGCCACTCAGCGCTTGGCATCCATTGGTCTCCTCAAACATGGCCGCCTCCTGTAACTGGGGACACTTTTCTGCGAAGGTTCCTTAAACAACCATTTCCTGTTTCCTAGTGGAAATGATTCTGTGTCTGCAGATACGTCATCGGGCGGCGCGGTGAGTCAGGCAGTGCGGGCGGATGTTGCGAGTGGAGGGGAGCGGAAGTATCCCGATCCTTCCAGGCTGCAGAGGGGCCCGGTGAGTATCGGGGACATATCTGTCCTGCCGGGTGTGCGCGGGGCAGGGGAGAAGCGGGAGGTCACGTGTGCCTGGTGGTGTGCTGTATTTGTGCGGGGGAGGGGACTCCCCTGTTGGTCACATGTCACTGCCTACCAGGCACATGCATTGCTCTGCTGGGGCCCCAGCCTCCTCATGTGTGTCCTGAGGAGGAGGAGGGGTTTGTTCATATTTTAAAAAAACCCCCCCCCCACCCTGACTGTGCAGACATGGGGGACATTCTGACTATATTTATTATTTTACATTTTCTGGGGGCAGCCATTGGTGATGGAGAGACCTGGGGGCAGCCATTGCTGAGCTCCTCCTGGACATGCTCATTGCCTAAATGCTGTCATGCTGATCAGGGGGGTGTGGACATTTTAACACATTACTTGTCCTAGGGACTAAATCCAGGTCCTAATCTACTTGTCCTGATTAAAAAAAACAAAAAATCTTTTTAACCAAAACCGTATTTCGCTGGTTCCTGCCCGGCCAATAGCAGATTGATAGCCGGGGTGACCTTTTCATCCCTGTGGGTGGATGTCATGTGACGTCACACCGCTCCTGCGCGCCCCCGTGGCGGGGGCACATGGTGATTGGCGGTGAGCTGTGACCCTTGGATACAGTGCATCACTGATCGATGCATCACTGCCAATGACTTTGGCTCTTTACCATGTGATCTGCTGTGTCCAATCACAGCTGATCACATGTAAAGAAATGCCGTTTATCAGCATTTCCTTTCGTCAGTGCTGTCACAGTGCTGAGGAAAGGAAGGCCGATAACTGGCTTTCCTGTGACCGGGAAACGTTTACACTGATTATCAGTGCCGCCTCATCAGTGAAGGAGAAAATGTACTTATTTGCAAACTAAGAAAAGTTTTTTTTTTTTCCCCAAAATGTTTGGTGTTTTTTCGTTTAACAAAAAAATAAAAATCCCCGTGGTGAATAAATACCAGCAAAAGAAAGCTCCATCTGTCCCAAATATTATAAATATTTCATATGGGTACAGTGTTGCATGACCGTGCAATTGGCCTGAGCAGGAAGGTGGTGAAAGTGCTCGGTATTGAAGGGGTTAAAGTGTTACTAAACCCACAACAGTAAGATCAGTCTGTATATGCAGTAAAGCATGCTTGTTATACTCACTGTGGAACCTAAGGGGTTAATCCTCTGCATTAAGTAAAAGGCTGTTTGATCCTGTCTTTGCTGAGCTTCCCCTTCTACTGTCCCCAATCCATCTCCTGATAGTACAGAGCCCTAGGAGTCACTCTGCACATGTTCAGTTTGGTGTGTATTGCTAGATATGTTTTTTTTTTTTATTATTGTTTGGGAGAGTGCATGTTATCAGCGCAGAGCCAATCAGCACTGTCCAGACAGAGATCAGGGGTTCTGCATCCTCTTACAGGAGAATGAAAACTCCTCCTACAAGCTGTAATCAGTGCTCTGCTGGACACTGATAGAAGATATTATTATTCAGGATTTATATAGCGCCAACAGTTTGCTCAGCTCTTTACAATATAACGGGAGACAATACAGCAACAATACAGTGCAATACAAGAGGGTTAGGAGGGCCTGATCCTGGGAGCTTACAATCTAAGAGAAGTCACATGACTGCTGATGAGAAAAGGTATTTAGCAGTTTATATTTACTAAAATAATTGCATTTCCATGTTGTGTGTACTGTGGGAGACCGGATATAGTGAATGCAGGGTCCTGGGAGACCGGATATAGTGAATGCAGGGTCCGGGGAGACCAGATATAGTGAATGCAGGGTCCGGGGAGACCAGATATAGTGAATGCAGGGTCCTGGGAGACCAGATATAGTGAATGCAGGGTCTGGGGAGACCGGATATAGTGAATGCAGGGTCCGGGGAGACCGGATATAGTGAATGCAGGGTCCAGGGGGAGACCGGATATAGTGAATGCAGGGTCCGGGGAGACCAGATATAGTGAATGCAGGGTCCGGGGAGACCGGACATAGTGAATGCAGGGTCCGGGGAGACCGACATAGTGAATGCAGGGTCCGGGGGGACCGGACATAGTGAATGCAGGGTCCGGGGGGACCGGACATAGTGAATGCAGGGTCCGGGGAGACCAGATATAGTGAATGCAGGGTCCTGGGAGACCGGATATAGTGAATACAGGGTCCGGGGAGACCGGATATAGTGAATGCAGGGTCCGGGGAGACCGGATATAGTGAATGCAGGGTCGGGGGAGACCGGATATAGTGAATGCAGGGTCCGGGGAGACCGGATATAGTGAATGCAGGGTCCGGGGAGACCGGATATAGTGAATGCAGGGTCCGGGGAGACCGGATATAGTGAATGCAGGGTCCGGGGAGACCGGATATAGTGAATGCAGGGTCCGGGGAGACCGGATATAGTGAATGCAGGGTCCGGGGAGACCGGATATAGTGAATGCAGGGTCCGGGGAGACCGGATATAGTGAATGCAGGGTCCGGGGAGACCGGATATAGTGAATGCAGGGTCCGGGGAGACCGGATATAGTGAATGCAGGGTCCGGGGAGACCGGATATAGTGAATGCAGGGTCCGGGGAGACCGGATATAGTGAATGCAGGGTCCGGGGAGACCGGATATAGTGAATGCGGGGTCCGGGGGACGGATATAGTGAATGCGGGGTCCGGGGAGACCGGATATAGTGAATGCGGGGTCCGGGGAGACAGGATATAGTGAATGCGGGGTCCGGGGGACCGGATATAGTGAATGCGGGGTCCGGGGGAGACCGGACATAGTGAATGCGGGGTCCGGGGGAGACCGGACATAGTGAATGCGGGGTCCGGGGAGACCGGACATAGTGAATGCGGGGTCCGGGGAGACCGGACATAGTGAATGCGGGGTCCGGGCAGACCGGACATAGTGAATGCGGGGTCCGGGCAGACCGGACATAGTGAATGCGGGGCCCGGGCAGACCGGACATAGTGAATGCGGGGCCCGGGCAGACCGGACATAGTGAATGCGGGGCCCAGGCAGACCGGATATAGTGAATGCAGGGCCCGGGGAGTTCGGATATATTGAATGAGTGGGTTTAGTAACACTTTAAGATTTTAAACCATTTGCCCTCCTGAGGATTTACCCCCATTCCTGACCAGGCCATTTTTTGCATTACGGCGCTGCGTTACTTTAACTGACAATTGCGTGGTCATGCAACGCTGCACCCAAATGAAATTTATGTCCTTTTTCCACAAATAGAGATTTCTTTTGGTGGTATTTGATCGCCTCTGCGTTTTTTATTTTTTGCGCTATAAACAAAAAAAAAACCGGACAATTTTGAGAAAAAAAAATATTTTTGACTTTTTGCTTTTAAACATGTCTAACAAAAAATATAAAAATATCAAAATTTTGTCATAAATTTAGGGCAAAATGTATTCTGCTACATATCTTTGCTAAAAAAAAAAAAAAAAAAAAATCAAAGGGTTAACTCTGTGCTGGGTTTATATGGGGCTGTGTCTGTGCTGTCCACTGTAAGCACACTTACATCCCCTGAGAAAAGAGGACTTCAGGTTCTTCTGAACCCCCCTCAGAGGTTAGTGGTTGCTCCCTACTCAGGAGGTTGTCAGAAAATGACATAGAGGGGGTTGGGGGCTGTCAGGAGGGGCAGCAGTGCCACGGTGTAGGGGGTAATTGCTATGACCCCCCCGGGCTGCAGGATTGATGATGTCACACAGGCTATAAAGAAAGTATATCTACATCAGGGACATGGTGAGAGAAAAAAGAACACAGAGCGATGCTATAGATGGGTAGAGACACGTCTAAGGTGAACAACCTCTATTTCTAGGAGATGAGCTTTAAATGAAGTGTGATGTAACTGATATAAATGGGTACAGTAATGCTGATCTTTCCTCCGATCTCATCATTCTTTCTTTATTATTAAGCAAACATGCCCATTGTAGAGAAACTGAAGGATGCCCTGAAGCCTGGTCGGAAGGACTCCGACGATGTGGAGCTCGGAAAGCTGCTTACGTCCTCTGCCAAGAAGATCCTTCTGCAGAAAATCGAATTCGAGCCGGCCACCAAGAGCTTCCACTACCAACTGGAGGCCTTGAAGAGCAAATATGTCCTGTTGGCTCCATCGCTGCAACCCTCCACCCCGCACAGGAGTATAGAAGGGAACCACAGGCAGGGTATGTACTTGGGTTTTGTTGGGTGTCATTTTAGGTGATATGGTCTAATTAAACCATCTGCTGGCTATACACATGATTCAGCCTGCACTGTCTGAGCCCGATCTCAATCCAGTGCTGTGCATGAGAGCAGCGGTTCTCTCTGCTCTCTCCCTCCTCACAGGGAAGGTTGATAGCCACAGGAGCCATTGGCTCCTGCTGCTGGCAGTCAAATCCTGTGATGGGTTTCGGGCAAAGCCCTGTTGTCTGTGCCTATGGACACAGGCAGTGGGGCTCAGGAGCGAGCCTGCATGAGTGCTCTAATAGGAAGCAGTCCTATGGGGGGCACTTGCTGAAGAGGAAGAACCAGGAGCGTTGACTGGGGACCCGAAAAGAGGAGGATGGGAGTTGCTCTGTGCAAAACCACTGCACAGAGCAGGTAAGTATAACATGTTTATTATTATTTAAAAAAAAAAATAATATAGTTACATGGTTAGTCTGGCTGAAAAAAGACAAAAGTCCATCCAGTTCAACCATTAAAAAAAAAAAAGTTATAATCCTACACCCACAGGTGATCCAGAGGAAGGCAAAAAAAAAACACCTAGAAAAGCATGATCCAATTTGCTCCTGCAGGGAAAAAAAATCCCTCCTGATCCCCGGAGAGGAATAATGGTTTAGAATACCTTAATGACTTCTAAATTGGAACCAATGGAGGATTAATATATCATTTTTGTTGGTGTTCTGGCTGGAAGATTCCGCTTGCTTCCTGTCTCAGTTGTCACCAGGACTGGAAGTGAGGAGAAACCTCCTGTATGGGGAATTGACTGAAATTACACTTAAAGGAGATGTACGGGTTTATGAGAAAATAAACATTCATATTCTCCTCTATGCTACTACATCGGTGTGATGCTGCAGCTGTCCCATGTCAGTCCTAAAACCAAGAACTCAGCGATCACATGACCACCGATCGCTCAACTGTCAGTCTGCTTGGAGCAGAGAGCAGTGCCTTGGAGCGCCTCTGCTCCATCAGCTGATTACAAGCTGACTTTGGGACAGAGGGGTGCAAAAGTAAGTCCACTCCTGTGACCCACAAGAGAAGTACAGCCACAAAAGCTTTGGCCATACTTCTTTTTTAAGTGTATGTTTCGGAAAAAAAAACAAACAAGCAGTATATCTTACCATGTTTTTTACTATTTAAAGGCTAAAGTCACCTTTTGTGTAAAAAAAACAAAAAAAAGCAACAAATAATACATTTACATCTTTTTTACAGGTAAAAAAAAAATGTGCATTTATTATTTTTTTACACTGCAGCCTGTAAAGCATTGCACCCGCAATCAGCAGATTGTGGGTGCATTGCTGGGATCCTGCAGACTCCCAGTAAGCGGTCTGCATGTACCTCATGTACAGGCAGGCGGTGTCCGGATGGCAGGAAGAATCGATGAACTATGAAAACGCTCGCTAGTGCCCTCTCAATTCATTGAGAACTACAAGCCATAGCAGTCGACGGTACTTGTAGTTCATTTATTCACAGAACTCTGTGAATGAATGACACAGCCGTGTGGGCGGAGTCCTGCGCATTCGCACTGTTTTTAAATTGTTACAGCTGTCTGTATGATGTGGAATGTCCTTCATTACAGGTAAGTTGGCTCACTAAAGCTATAGAGATTTTTTATTTAATCCTTCAGGTACAAAACAATACCCATTGATCTTCAACTGATAATTTCCTGGTGTCAGCCCTGCCCAGTTTTCTTTTGCCAAATGCCAGGATCCCACCTCCTCTCCACAACATAGAAACATGGCTACCCACATGTTTCTCCCTGTAAAGTTTTCTTTTATTTCATGATTGGGACGACGATGATCGCTGCAAAAAAAGAGTGAAGTGTTTGGTTCTCAGCCTTGCAGCAATGGGTGGTGCTTTCTACAAAAGTATAATAGAAATGTATTTTCCTCTCTCCGCAGGCAATGACCTTGCATCTGGGGGCTCAGATGGCATACCTCATCCTCAGAAGGTGCTTTTCCCGATGGAGAAATTGTCTATGAAGTGGGAGCGTGTTTCTAGAGTGGGGGCGGGCCTGCAGAATCTGGGGAACACTTGCTTTCTCAACTCCACAGTCCAGTGTCTGACCTACACCCCTCCTCTCGCCAACTACTTGCTGTCTAAGGAGCACAGCCGCAACTGTGAGTACCACCGCACACTGTGGGCGCCATATTTAAAGGGGTAGTAGATATACATCAGACATTGATTTGTTGTAGAGATTGTAAAGGAACTCTTGCCCATCCAGGACAACATGACAGGTTCCTTTGATAGAGCCCTACCCAGTGATGCTCTTATTTACTGTGCTCTGTTCATCTGTGCCTTATCTCCTCTCCCATATCATAGCATTTGGGACTGATGACTGGCTGTACAGTCCTGAGCACTGCATCCTGAGAAGAAGGAGAGAAAGTCACTTGCACCTCTATACCGAAAAGCAGTGAGGGAACCAACTGACGAGTGGAGTGGGAGGTGTTTGAGAAAATTTAATCCCTAAATGTGTAAAGCGTCAGCTTTTCTTTAACCACTTCCCATGCGGCCCATGTATATAAATGGCCAGGTGGGAGCAGCGCAGGGGCAGGTTGCCGTTCATAAATGGCGCCCGTCATTTTAGCCTGTGTGCGCACCCTGGGAGCGCGCGGCATTGCAATCCTCCGGACACAGCAGAACACCGGTCGCTGTACGGGACCTCTGTGTGATGACCAACTGGCTAACGCGTTTCGAGGACACAACCTCTTCCTCAGAGCCAACAAGCCAGTTAGTCATCCAGGGTTCCATCGTATGGACTTAGATGTTGTTTGGATCATACATCTTGTTCAGTTTGACATGCCTGTGTTATTATGTCCATTGTGAGTATGATACCTATTTTTGTTTCTTTATTAAATTATTTTAAACGATAATGCACTAGGTCGGTGCGCCCTTTTTCTGTTTTCTCCATTTGGATCGTATTGATGCACGGTTGGTTGGGCCAGCCATACAAAGAAGTGCCTATACAAAAATAAATAAATAAATATATATATATATACACACTCATATAGCAGTGAATTTATTGCTTTTAGGGAGGAACTGCATAAATAACTTACCCATATGTCACAATTTACTGAATCAGTATAGTATACAGGGTAATAAAAGCAGTGCTGTAGCTCCAGCCAAATGACTGTGGGCAGGGGAGAAGCATCATAGCAGAATGGTGTCAAACTTGCATTGCTGACAGCAGAAAGTCTCTTCAGCCCTTCTTTGTTTTATACAGGTCAGCAGGGTGGATTCTGTATGCTGTGCATCATGCAAAACCATCTCATCCAAGCCTTTGCAAATAGTGGAAATGCCATCAAGCCCGTCGCCTTCATCCGAGAACTAAAGAGTAAGTGCATTATTGCAAGGATTTGTTGGCTGTAGTGTAATGAACAGGCAATCTCTATTCACCCAAATTGTGTAGATCTGCAGGCTTACAGGCTGGATTCTGTACAGGGGCGGACTGACCATTTGGAAACTCTGGCACTGCCCGAGGGGCCCGGGGTCAGTAGGGGGCCCCATGAGATGCCCCTGGTACCTTTTTCATAGGCATTTTTGAGTTTTGGCGAGGACACAGGGGCCCCATGATCCCCTATTGCCTGGGGGCCCCATGAGTTGTCAGTCCGCCCCTGACTCTGTATATTCATTTGGAATGCCCATCATGGGGTTTGTGATCACATTGCTTGTCAGGTGATCTGAAGAAACGCCATGGTGGGAGCTAGTGAACCCCCAAGGATGTTGTGTCACAGAGGTTCCTCATTGGGGTCCATTAATCCCGCATATAATTTGAATCCATGGTATCCACTCAAATTTGATTTTTGAAAAGAATTCTTCCAAATTCAACTGGTTTGTAATGTATAATTACAACCGCGTATGGCTCTTAAACTGTGCGTAGAGGGTGTCAAATGATCTGATAGGGCTGCAGTTCCTACACTACATGTGAGTGTATATTGGTCTTCAAACACTACATGGGCTGTGCTATTTTCTGTTGAATATATTACTCAGACTTTCCCTATTAATGTGTATTTGGATGATGGTAACTTAAAGGAGATATATGGCCAAAATTTGGTCATACTTCCCCTCTGGGTCACAGTTATGCACTTGATTCTGCCCTTTGACCCAGATTCAGCTGCTGTTGGCTGATGTTACAGAACTGGTCAAGGATCTGCAGGGATTCTGACAATAATGTCAGTATCCACCCAGATGCCTGACTGGCAGCTGGCTCAGCCTCTCAGCATGCTGGTGAGAGCCTAAGCCAGGTGTAACCTCCCCCCACCATAGCTAGACTCTTTAGTGAGCACTGGAGGGGCAGAACAGAGAGCGGTGACTAATAGTCACTGCTCTTTGCTCAGTGAAGACTGAGAACTGAGCAATCGGTGATTGCTTGGTTTTCGGTCTTAGAGCTGAAAAGGGATAGCTACAACATGAGACCAATGCTGCTTCCACATAGTTGAGTGTGTATGCTTGTTATTTTTTTTAATCCTGCACTTCTCTTTAAAGGGATTTGTATAGGCTTGACCAACATTTACTCTCGAGTCCCCCAAATAAACATTCATTTTTATTCCTTACCTTGTTTCTGTAGAGAAAAACTGCTTTTATTACTTTCTGTGACATCATCACCTGGCTTGTAAAAGTGACCGCTACTGGGAGGTCAATTCCTATTACTGTAGACATGACCCCAGAACTACATCTCCTTGGAGCCCTTATTTCTTACAAAGTGGGCGGGCTCTTGTGCATCAAGACCGCATATTGTTCTGCTGGGAAAGAAATTTAGTGTATGGACTTGGAGAGGGACAAAGAGGGCTGGGAATAGGCAGTGTTCTGTAGTCTAGTCTCTTTTTTTTATATATTTTGCTTAGATATATGCATACATTTAGGAAATAAATGTAGGTTAACGTCGTTATAAGTGTTTTTTTTTTTTAATTTAGAAATTGCTCGTCACTTTCGATTTGGGAGCCAAGAAGATGCTCATGAATTCCTTCGTTATACTATTGATGCCATGCAGAAGGCCTGTCTGAATGGATACGCTAAGTAAGAGACCTGCACTCCCTTTTGTAAGCGTGTTCCTTGTGTTAGTTGGACAGCCATGTACAGAGCTTGAAGTGCTTCTAAAACCTTAAGGTTTTTACCTTAATGCATTCTATGTGTTAGGGCAGGAGTCTCCAAACTGTGGCCCTTTTCTTGCCCTTATCTGGCCCTTGGGCCACTGTTTCTTCCACTGATACAAACGGTTCCTTTCAGTGATACCAAAGAGAGGGCAGTAGTCTTCCCACTGACACCAATAATGGGGAACTAATTCTTCCACTGATACCATTGCTGGGGCACTATTCCTCCCACTGACACCAATGATGGCGCACTATTCCTCCCACTGACACCAATGATGGCGCACTATTCCTCCCACTGATACCAATGATGGCGCACTGTTCCTCCCACTGATACCAATGATGGGACACTATTCCTCCCACTGACAACAATGATGGGACAATATTCCTCCCACTGATACCAATGATGGGACACTATTCCTCCCACTGACAACAATGATGGGACAATATTCCTCCCACTGATACCAATGATGGGGCACTATTCCTCCCACTGATACCAATGATGGGGCACTATTCCTCCCACTGATACCAATGATGGGGCACTATTCCTCCCACTGATACCAATGATGGGACACTATTCCTCCCACTGACAACAATGATGGAGCACTATTCCTCCCACTGACAACAATGATGGGACACTATTCCTCCCACTGATACCAATGATGGGACACTATTCCTCCCACTGATACCAATGATGGGGCACTATTCCTCACACTGATACCAATGATGAGGCACTATTCCTCCCACTGATACCAATGATGGGACACTATTCCTCCCACTGACACCAATAATGGGGAAACTAATTCTTCCACTGATACCATTGCTGGGGCACTATTCCTCCCACTGACACCAATGATGGCGCACTATTCCTCCCACTGACACACAATGATGATGGAGCACTATTCCTCCCACTGACACCAATGATGGGACAATATTCCTCCCACTGACACCAATGATGGAGCACTATTCCTCCCACTGACACCAATGATGGGACAATATTCCTCCCACTGATACCAATGATGGAGCACTATTCCTCCCACTGATACCAATGATGGAGCACTATTCCTCCCACTGATACCAATGATGGGGCACTATTCCTCCCACTGACACCAATGATGGGGCACTATTCCTCCCACTGACACCAATGATGGGGACACTATTCCTCCCACTGATACCAATGATGAGGCACTATTCCTCCCACTGATACCAATGATGGGGCACTATTCCTCCCACTGACACCAATGATGGGGCACTATTCCTCCCACTGATACCAATGATGGGGTACTATTCCTTCTACTGATACCAATGATGGGGCACTATTCCTCCCACTGATACCAATGATGGGGCACTATTCCTCCCACTGACACCAATGATGCTGCAATGTTACTATTTTACAAAGTTCTATGTTCTGTGGATATCTTTTTCTAAACAAGGACCTTCGTGTTCTAGTTGACTGCAAGTCCCAAGTTTGACACACAAAGAAGCTGCTGCTTGGTGGACAGGAAAAGGATATAAACTTTTCTGGAGGTTGTCTTCCAGCATGTTTATATAAAGACAGAAGAGTCTGAACTGGTTAACTTTTCTTTTAAAAACAGACATTTCTGCTGATAGCATTTTTAAACCAAGTGTATGTTTTGAAAAATGATTGTAAGATATTTACCTCCTCTCCTTTTAGGTTGGATCGGCAAAGTCAAGCTACGACTTTAGTGCATCAGATATTTGGGGGCTACTTACGCTCTCGAGGTAAGACAATAATGATGGCAGTAAAGTGGATTTAAACCCAAAAGCAAACTTGTATTATATTGCAGCTTACTATTTCTTAAGTGCGATGGCTGCATTTGTTTTTTATTTATTTAAGCTCTCTTTCCATTATTTTCATCTGGTGATCCAGCCAGTAAGTCTGTTGTTCAACACAACCTCTCCAGCAGAATGTATTAGTTACAGAGATGAGATAAAACATTTAACACTGGCAGGGGTGATTACAATGATCAGCTTTTATTTTTTTATGTAAAACCATTATCCCAAAAGGAAAAAAAAAACTTTGTTGTAACTGCTTATAAAGTACTAGCTGGAGTTTGGCTTTAACTTGTTCGTGTAGTTAAATCTGCTAAAACATCAAACACTCCACTGTCCCTAGACCAACAATGCTTCTGTCCAAAGGTGCCCCCCTGTGCTCCTTCATCCAGAGTGGGGTGCTCTTATACAGAAGGTGTGTTACTGGCCAGATCGCCAGGGGGAAATTGAGGGGAAAAAAGCCTAAAAAAAAAAGAATTCAGCCACCATATCTACTGATTGATAAGCTTCAGTATATTACATTTTTGGTTTTGGGTTTAGTACAACTTTAAATAATGTGATGCTAACAAAGGTGATTTTAGGGGTCCAATTAAAAGTGATTTTTCCCTGTTGGCTGCTGCTAGGTACAAGTCAACTACTAGTTTATATCCTTGATGACCCTTACAATAGGATCTCCTTGCCTTATGTCCTGTCTGTAGCTGCCCGTGTTGTGTCTGCTGTCATTACAAGGGCGCTCCTGTTCCTTTTTCTTGTTGCATTCAGCATATAAGTTAATACAAATCTCCAGGCAAAAATCATGTTTAAGAATTTCAGTTATGTTCCCCACATTTATTTTTTACTAAAGGAGAAGCTCTTTTGGCCATACTCCTCTTGTGGGTTACAGACGTGCACTAGTTCTGCACTCCTGTGACCCAGATTCAGCCAACAGTGGGCTAAAGCCTGCTGTCTGCTGACATCACAGTGCAATTCCAGGCTATGCAAGGATCCCGAAAATAATATCGGGATCCACCCAAATGCCTGACCGACAGCTGCCTCAGCCTCCGTGTGCCGCTAAGATCCTGAGCCAGCTACTCCCATCCCCTCCACAGTGAGCCCTGCAGCAGCAGAACAAAGAGCGGTAACTTGCTGTCGCACGAAACGCGTCAGGAGGAACCTTGCCCTGCTGATGTCACGTCGCCGAGGCCGCATGTTGGTCCGGCGGCCATCTTTTTCTCTATACAAGCTCGATTTTCAGTGTCATTTCTATTTGGATTGCTTTGCCCATACTTATTAAAGAAATACTACACTATATGATCCATGTCTGGTGGCTTGTTTACTCAGCCATTTAAGGAGGAAGAGTAACATCAGACAGTACCTTGGCTGAATCGGGTATTAAGGAGCAGTTCCTCCCCCACCCCTTGTGTTGGATTGGTCCGTTGGATGTTTGGAGTGCCTCCCCTGCTGTATGTGTGTGCCAGTGGAGCCCCTTCTGCCCCTGACCAGATCCATGATGACCACCAGGGTCCTGTTTGGAAATCATTGTTACATGCGCATATGACTTGTGCTTTCGGTAAAAGCAAGCACATTTCAATTTATCACCATCTGAAGTCACGAACACTGGAGTCATTTCCAATATTCCTGCTTCCCAGTCACCAGAATCACTACTTTGCTTGAAGTTTCATAACGTTCGCTAGTTTGATTCTCATCCAGTCACGAGTTTACTGGATTATGGATTATTGAGCACTTCTTAGCACTTTATGAACCTTATTTATTAATGTTTACATCTATTTTTAGTGCAATATTTCTGCTTATTTCTGGTTCACTGTTTTTTATTGTCATCCAGTCACGAACAGGGAAGAACTGACCATTTGGAAACTCGGGCACTGCCCGAGGGCCCGGGGTCAGTAGGGGGCCCCAAGAGATGCCCCTGGTACTTTTTTCATAGGCTTTTTTGAGTTTGGGCAAGGATACAGGGGCCCCATGATCCCCTATTGCCCGGGGGCCCCATGAGTTGTCAGTCCGCCCCTGGTCACGAATTTACTGGATCGTGGATTATTGAGCACTTTTTGGCACCTTATCAATTAATGTTTACGTTTATACATTTTTAGTGCAATATTTCTCGATTTATTTGTGCTTATTTTTGGGTATACTTATTTCATCCATTCACTGTATGTCTTGTCACTGGATTTTCTCTAGTTTGTACCAGATTAATATTATTCCATTAGCGCTGCATATTGATTTACCAAAGAGCGGTGACTGACAGACATCACTCTGTATTCAGAGTGGACCTGAGAACTGATAGATCACCGGTCCTTGATTGCTCAGTTCTTCGTGTAGAGCCGCTAGGGGACAGTTGTGGCATCAGTGCAGTATGTACATAGGTGAGTATAAATGCTTGTTATTTTTGAATCCCGCACTTTTTTTTAAAAGGCCAATTCCAGCCAAAACACTATATCTTTTACTGAATGGAGCAGGGAAGGATTAGAGCTTCTGTTGAGTTCTTATTGTCATCTTTATTCCTGGTTGGTACACAGTTCTACTCCCTTCGCCCGCCCCAGCAGCCTCAGCTCTGCTTAGTAATGAGCAGCTGATATGCAGACAGATTTAAACATTTAAGGGTCAGTTCACACTACATGTTTCAGTTGCTTTTTTTCGGCATATAAAACGCACAGAAGGTAGGTTATCTGGTTGTTAGTGTCTTAGTTCACATCAGTGCTTGCAGTTCCAGTTGCAGAAAAAGAAGTAGAACAGGCTGCATTTTTCCTGCACGGTAAAACGCATAAAAAAAAGCACCAGAAGAGCACCAAAACGCAGTGCCGATTCACATACACTATACTGTCAAAAGTATTGGGCTTGCCATCCAAATCATTGGATTCAGATATTCCAATCCCCTCCATGGGACACAGGTGTATAAAATCATCACCTAGGCATGCAGACTGCTTCTACAAACATTGGTGGAAGAATGGGACTCAAGTGGTAGGTCACGTATAATGACAGAACGAGGTCAGCGCATGCTGAAGCGCACAGTGCGCAGAAGTCACCAACTGTCTGCAGAGTCAATAGCTAAAGACCTCCAAACTTGGTGTGGCCTTCAGATTAGCACAACAACAGTGTGTAGAGAGCTTCATGGAATGGGTTTCCATGGCCGAGCAGCTGCATCCAAGCCTTATATCACCAAGTGCAATGCAAAGCGTTGGATGCCGTGGTGTAAAGCAAGGTCCATAAAGACATGGAGGAGCCAGTTTGGGGTGGAGGAACCTGACTGTCCTGCACAGAGTCCTGACCTCAACCCCATAGAACACCTTTGGGATGAATTAGAGCGGAGACTGCAAGCCAGGCCTCCTCCCCCGACATCAGTGCCTGACCTGACAAATGTGCTTCTGGAAGAATGGTCCAACCTTCCCATAGACACCCTCCTAAACCTTGTGGACGGCCTTCCCAGAAGAGTTGAAGCTGTTATAGTTGCAAAGGGCGGGGCCAACTCAATATTGAACCCTACGGACTAAGACTGGGGGCCATTAAAGGTCATGTGTGTGTAAAGGCAGGCCGACCAATACTTTTGGTGATATAGTGTATATGTGGATTGGATGTGGTTTGAACTGCATTCCTATCCGCATGACGTGAAAAAACTTTGCTTCCTATGGTACCTGTTCACCATCCGTGCACTGGCGTTGTGTGGATTCAGTTGCTGATCGCCGCCATTATTAGTATATAAAAAATCCAGTATATATATCTCCATTTGTAGACGCTATAACTTTCACATAAAGCAATTAATATACACTTATTGGTATGTAGCAGAATACATTATGGCCTAAATTTATGAAGAAATTTGATTTTTTAAAATTTTTATGTTTTATAGTCAAAAATTGTTTTTGTTTTTTTTTTCAAAATGGTTGGTGTATTTTTTTTGTTTATAGCGCAAAAAATAAAATCCGCTGAGGTGGTCAAATATCACTGAAAGAAAGCTCTTTTTTATGGGGAAAAAATGACATCAATTTCATGTATGTACAACGTTGCATGACTGCGCAATTGTCAGTTAAAGTAACGCAGCTCCGTATTGCAAAAAATGGCCTGGTCAGGAAGGGGGGTAAATCCTCTGGAGGGCAAGTGGCTAATTTTGATTTCGTTTTAGTCAGTCTTTTGACTAAAATGACATTTAGTTTCAGTCACATTTTAGTCTGACTTGTTTTAGCTTTAGTCGACTAAATATAATCTGATTTTACTCAACTAAATCTACAATAGATTTAGACAAGTAAAATTGAATGGGTTGGGCTAAAGTGTGATGCATTATTGAGGCATTTCCTTAGAATTTCCAATCTTATTATATACAGTTGCAAGAAAAAGTATGTGAACCCCTTGGGATTACGTGGAGTTTTTGCATGAATTGGGCATAAAACGTGCTCTGAACGTCATCTAAGTCACAACAATAGAAGAACACAGTCTGCTGAACATAATACTACACAAACATTAGATGTTGCCATGGTTTAATTGCACATAACATGTAAACATTCACAGTGCAGGGAGGAAAAAGTATGTGAACCTTTGGACTTAATAACTGGTTGACCCTCCTTTGGTAGCAATAACCTCAACCAAACGTTTCCTGTAGTTGCAGATCAGACCTGCACAACGATCTGGAGTCATTTTGGACCACTCCTCTTCACAAAACTGTTTCAGTGTAGCAATATTCTTGGGATGTCTGGTGTGAATCGCTCTCTTAAGGTCATGCCACAGCATTTCAATCGGGTTGAGGTCAGGGCTCTGACTGGGCCACTCCAGAAGGCGTATTCTGTGCTGTTGCAGCCATTGTTTTGTTGAATTACTTGTATGCTTTGGGTCATTGTCCTGTTGCATCACCCATCTTCTGCGGAGCTTCAGTTGGCGGACTGATGGTCGTACGTTTTCCTGGAAAATGTCTTGATAAACTCTGGAATTCATTTTCCCATCAATGACAACAATCCGTCCAGGCCCTGAGGCAGCAAAGCAGCCCCAAACCATGATGCTCCCTCCGCCATGTTTCACAGTGGGGATGAGGTTTTGATGTTGGTGTGCTGTGCCTTTTTTTCTCCACACATAGTGTTGTATGTTCTTCCCAAACAACTCAATCTTGGTTTCATCTGTCCACAGTATATTTTGCCAGTAGTGCTGTGGAACATCCAGGTGCTCTTTTGCAAACTTCAAACATGCTGCAATATTCTTTTTGGACAGCAATGGCTTCCTCCGTGGTGTCCTCCCATGTACGCCATTCTTGTTTAATGTTTTCCTTATTGTAGATGTGTCAACAAAAATGTTAGCATGTGCCAGAGATTTCTGTAGGTCTTTAGCTGACACTCTGGGATTCTTCTTTACCTCATGCAGCATTCTGCGCTGTGCTCTTGCAGTCATTTTTACAGGACGACCACGCCTAGGGAGAGTAGCAACAGTGCTAAACTTTCTCCATTTGTAGACAGTCTGTCTTACCGTGGACACATGAACATCAAGGCTGTTGGAGATACTTTTGTAACCCTTTCCAGCTTCACGCAAGTCAACAATTCTTGATCGTAGGTCTTCTGAGAGCTTTTTTCTGCGAGGCATGGTTCACATCAGACAGTGCTTCTTGAAACCAGTAAACCCAAAACAGGTGTGTGTTTTTTAAGGGCAGGACAGCTGTCAGCAACACATCCAATATCATCACACTGATTGGAGTCAAGGTCGGCTCACTCCTAGCTCCAGTTAGCTCTGGGAGAAGTCATTAAGCTAGGGACTCACATATTTTTTCCTCCCTGCACTGTGAATGTTTACATGTTATGTGCAAATAAACCATGGCAACATCTAATGTTTGTGTAGTATTATGTTCAGCAGACTGTGTTCTTCTATTGTTGTGACTTAGATGACGTTCAGAGCACATTTTATGCCCAATTCATGCAAAACTCCACGTAATCCCAAGGGGTTCACATACTTTTTCTTGCAACTGTATTCCTGGAATAAATATCAATGAACCTGTAATAACTTGTTATTAAAGTGGAGTTCCAGCTGAAAAAAAAAAAAATAAAAGTCAGCAGCTACAAAAACTGTAGCTGCTGATTTTTAAAATACAGCCACTCACTCGGTCCAGCGGTGTCCTCACCACGGCTGGTTTCACCGTCCGTCTTCCCTCTCTGGCGCCGGCATCTTCAGTGTGGGCACCCGGCTGAATCCTATTCTTCTTTGTTGGCACTGGCAGTGTATGTAGTGAAAGTGCTTTTCTTATAGTTAGTTACATTTAGCCCTGGTTCACATATGTGCAGGCTGCGATTTGCGTGGACGTGAGAACCCATTCATTTGCCCGGGACACACAGGGTAGAAGTCCCTGCACTACCTGGGAAATCGCAGCACGCACGAGAATCGAGGTTCCCAGTACGGTTGCGATTTTCCAGTGCGGGCGGCGTGCCATTAGAATTAATGGCACCCACCCTGTGGGTACGGCATTCCTCTGTATGGGTGGTGCGGCTGCAGGTAGTTGTGCGGGTCCCGCAGCGGCACCACCCGCACAGATGTGAACCAGGGGTTAGGATTATACATGGTCAGATGGTGGCAAGTTCTATCCCTGTGTTAAATTCACCAGCTTCTAGCAAAAATCGTCACAACTGTTCTGCATATGCTGCCATTATAAGACCATCCTGAAATCGAAGCTGGACTGTGGAATCGGCGTTAAGACAAAATGTATCTGCTGTCTTCTAGTGAAATGCTCCGTCTGCAAGAGCGTGTCTGACACCTTTGATCCGTATCTGGACATCGCTCTGGAGATACGGGTAAGGTTTTTATTGACGAATAATTGATTTCAATTATCAATGTGGAGTTGTGATATATTATAGTGTGTAAATGTAACTATTGCAATATTATTTATTTAATTTGATTGTTTTTTTTTTGTGAAGCGTCAATTGTGTTGTAAAGCAAAATGACGCCTGGGGCCCCAACCCCCTCCCGGACTCTGCACATGCACAGATGTGCCACAGAACAGCAGCACACATGGGTTTCCCCTGTATTATTTATTTATTATTTTATTTATTTCAGGTACTTATATAGCGCTGTCAATTTACACAGCACTTTACATATATATTGTACAGTCACATCAGTCCCTAACCCTCAAGGGGTGTACAATCTAAGGTCCCTAACTCACATTCATACATACACATACTAGGGACAATTTAGACAGGATCCAATTCACCTCCCAGCATGTCTTTGGAGAGTGGGAGTAAACCAGAGTACCCGGAGGAAACCCACGCAGTCACAGGGAGAACATATATATTGTACATTCACATCAGTCCCTAACCCTCAAGGGGTGTACAGTCTAAGGTCCCTAACTCACATTCATACATACACATACTAGGGACAATTTAGACAGGATCCAATTCACCTACCAGCATGTCTTTGGAGAGTGGGAGGAAACCGGAGTACCCAGTGTGTTGTAAAACAAAATGACGCCTGGGGCCCCACCCCCCTCCCAGACTCTGCACATGCACAGATGTGCCACAAGGCAACAGCACACATGGGTTTCCCCTGTATTATTTATTTATTATTTTATTTCAGGTACTTATATAGCGCCGTCAATTTACGCAGCACTTTACATATATATTGTACATTCACATCAGTCCCTAACCCTCAAGGGGTGTACAATCTAAGGTCCCTAACACACATTCATACATACACATACTAGGGACAATTTAGACAGGAGCCAATTCACCTACCAGCATGTCTTTGGAGTGTGGGAGGAAACCGGATTACCCGGAGGAAACCCACGCAGTCACAGGGAGAACATGCAAACTCCAGGTAGGTGGTGCCGTGGTCGGGATTTGAACCAACCACCCGAGTACTGCCAGGGGGAAGTGCTAACCATTTAGCCACTGTGCTGCCCTTATTTTAAATTAATCTGGCTACACACAGTGAGATTTTACTTGGATGGGAACTATTCATTTAGCATCATTTACCAGCATCTACAGTAGTATGAAGGATTGCAATCTGGCTTTAAGATCTGTGCATACTGCTGAGGAAAATGGTGAGCTAGTCGCATGAGCATGGGGAAGACAAAGTACTGTTATAGTTCTAAGGAAGAGATTTTTTTTTTTTTTTTCCAGCTTTGGAAATGCATTGCTGGTAAACAGTCTTCAATGATCTGTATAGGCACAACCCACGTTTACCTTCCTCATCCCTCTAGATCAGCCTTTCTCAACCCTTTCAATAGTAGTGCACTGAAATGAAAATTCTGGTGCCGAAACCGAAAATTCAGGATGCACTTGGCCGAAAACCGAAACTGAAATGGACAGTTTTAAAAATGTATATATTTTTCAAACGCAATTTTTTTGGGAAAAAATAAACTTTAATGATAAAAATGTAATTTAATTGTATTGGGCAGCACAGTGGCTAAATGGTTAGCACTTCCCCCTGGCAGTACTAGGGTCATTGGTTTGAATCCCAACCACGGCACCTCCTGCTTGGAGTTTGCATGTTCTCCCTGTGCCTGCGTGGGTTTCCTCCGGGTACTTTGGTTTCCTCCCACACTCCAAAGACATGCTGGTAGGCGAATTGACTCCTGTCCAGACTGGCCCTAGAATGTATGAATGTGAGTTAGGGACCTTAGATTGTACGCCCCTTGAGGGTTAGGGACTGATGTGAATGTACAATATATATGTAAAGTGCTGCGTAAATTGACAGCGCTATATAAGTACCTGAAATAAATAATTGTCTCCCTTTATATTGTAAAGCGTTGCGCAAACTGTTGGCGCTATATAAATCCTGTATAATAATAATAATAATAAAAAAACCTGGAAGCTGATTGGTTTCTATGCACAAATGAGCCTGATTTTGCACTCCCAGCTTTAGTAAATTAACCCCACTGTATGAGTAGGTTTTTGGGATTCAAGGCAGCAGGATTGTTTTGATTGGGGAAAAAAATCAATGTATGCATGTGGAGAGATTTATAGGAGATTAAGGTTTTTTTTTCTTTTGTATTTTCAGCATTTGTAAAGGGATGAAACTTTGGGAAATGTTCATGTATTGCAGAGATGTGCTTTTTTTTCTTCTTTTTTTTTTTTTTTTCCTTTTTGTTCACACATACGCTCTCTGTTTACTATGATCAGACTAGGGATAGGTCAATTCTGACTGGTCCCTGTGAGTTGCCATCTTCAGCGAATCAGATTGTAAGGATCTTTTGTTTCTTGTTGCAGCAATCAGCCAACATTGTGCGTGCGTTAGAGCTTTTTATCAAGTCTGATGTGCTGAGCGGAGAGAACGCCTACATGTGTGGCAAGTAAGAGCAGTTCTGTTACTTTTCAGCTATGTGGTCACCAGATTTCTTGGTAAAAAACAATTTGTTATGTGCTCACCTTGCTCAGCACCAAGCAGTGTGGCGTTGCAGTCTCAGCTTCAAGAAGCGATCCTTGTTCACTCACCTAGATCACTGCCATCCATCTAAACCAGTGGTTCTCAACCTGTGGGTCGCGACCCCTTTGGGGGTCGAATGACCCTTTCACAGGGGTCACCTAAGACCATCGGAAAACATATTTCCGAAGGTCTTAGGAACTGAGACACCGCTCCTCTATCCGTCTCCAGGCGGGTCCACCCACATGCAGCTACGCCCACATACGAGTACCGGCGTGATAACATCATTGCGCCAACCCCATCACATACACCCCGTACAAATACAGGTGTATGTGACGGGGTTGGCGCCATAATGTAATTATGTGGACCAGTCACTCGTGTAGAAAGCAGCTACTGTGTAGAAAGCTGCTACTGTGTAGAAAGCTGCTACTGTGTTGAAAGCAGCAGTATTGGAGGTAAAACGACACTTCATGAATTCTAATTACTATGTAAATGTAAAATCATCAAATACTGCAAAAAATATTTGTGATTAATCACTGCTTTAATTATGTTCAATTTATAAAAATGAAAATACATCCTGCATATCGGATATTTACATTACAATTCATAGTAGTAGCAAAATTACAGTTATGAAGTAGCAACAAAAATAATTTTATCGTTGGGGGTCACCACAACAGGAAGAACTGTATTACAGGGTCACGGCATTAGGAAGGTTGAGAACCACTGATCTAAACTTAAAGAAGTGATTTTCACACCTGGCTTCTGGGAGTATATAAGTTTCTTCTCATTGATTTTTTTTTTTTTTTTTTAATATATATAAGGTACACTCCAACAAGAACAGAAAATTATAGGGGCCTATATATAGTAGGTACTCCACAGGAAACTGTGATAGATGCTGCACACTATTCCTGCATTTTATGAGCCATTTCAAAAATGTGGGCTGCATGATGAAGCCTGTGGTGTCCCATGGGGGTTTATTTACTAAAGCTGGTTCACTCAGAATCTCGTGCACTTTTGCATGGAAACCAATCAGCTTCCAGGTTTTATTGCTAAAGCTTAATTGAACAAGCTGAGGTTACAAACTGATTGGCTACCATGCACAGCTACACCAGATTCTGAGTGAACCAGCTTTAGTAATGCAGGCGATAGATGGTTCGTTTATTGGCCGTTTTTTTTTTGTCCGAAAAACAAAACATTGGTCATTTTGTTGCCACCAATGATTGCAAAAATCGGCCTTTTTTCACAAATTTTTCAGCATGACCGATAATACAAATGAGGAGGAACTGTGAAAATTGTCCGATGCCATTGCCCCACTAACAGTGCAAAAATCGGCCGATTATTCTTTCAAACGAAAAATCGGCGATAAACGAACCGTCTATGGCCTGCATTAATCTACCCCATGGAATCTTACCCAAGGTTCACATCTGTGCGGTTGGTGCACTGCGGATACCCACATGAAAATCCGTGCAGCCGCACCACCCACACAGAGAAATGCGGACCTGCGGGTGGGTGCCATTAGTTCTAATGGTACGCTGCCTGCATTGGAAAACGCAACTGTACTGGGAACCGAGGTTGCCGTGCTGGCTGCGTTTTCCAAAGAAGTGCAGGGACTTCTTCCCTGTGTGTCACGGGAGTTCATTCAAATGAATGGGCTCTCGTGCCTGTGCAAAACGCAGCCCGCACGGCCGCATAGATGTGAAGCGGGGGTTATGTTGCAGTAAGCACTCCCTGAGAAGAGGCCAGTTATGTGACTTTAACATGTAACATCAAAGGTGGTTCACCTCCTGTTCCCCCCCATTTGAACGGAGCTTTGGTTGCTTTAGGGGTCCTGTGCGCTGTTGTTTATAAATGTGGCTTTACCGCTGCTTTACACCTGAGACCTTAAGGGTGGGTTCACACTGCCCGCTGCGATTTTGCTGAAGTGCAGCTAACCCACAGATTTTCTGCAGGTTAGTTGTACTTTCCTGTAGACTTCTATGATGTCTTGCAATTTTGGTGCTTTTCAGAAAGCGCATCAGAACTCCTGAATGTTGTATCTTTTGTGTGCTTTCTGAAACCACACCAAAACCTCGAGACGTCATAGAAGTCTATGGGAAAGTGCAACTAACCTGCACGATGAACACAGGTTAGTTGCGCTTTGCCTGAAGCACTGCGGGATCGCACAGAGGCAGAGTGAAGCCGCCCTAATACTGGAAATGCGGGGACCACATCGCGGTTTTTCATATAAATAGTGCTGCAATGCACCAGTCTACCCAACTCTTTTCTCTGTAATAACTTCTGCTGGAGATGCTGGAACACCCTCCTTGCAGTGCTATCACAGCCACTAGTCAAACTCGTTGTGGACGTTTGGATGTGATTGGTGAAGCAGTAAGCAGAGAGATGGGATGTTACACTACATAAGCTTCTGGATGTACACTTCTACTGACCGTAACAACCAGACACGGGGTCTAAATTTTTCCCTACTCTATGCAAACTTTAAAAAAAAAAAAAAAAAAATTTTGCCTGAACGTATTCTTTAGGGGTCATTCATACCAGTTGCTTTGCTCAACACAAGGACAGTTGTTTTCTGTGTGCCCTGATCACACCGTGTCTGCATTTTGTTTGCAACACAATTCCCAGCAATGTATTACAATGTTGTTGTGCATAAAGTTAAATGTAGTGTTTTGTAACTTATATGCACCAAAATGCGCCCACTGGTGTAAACGGGCCCATCTGTAAAAGGAGGGTTACCTTTCCAGTGCCCCTTGTGTTGAAAAGCTGAAGTACTCTTAGGGCTCATGTACACGGGGCGTGTGGGAAAACTCTTCTGAACGATGGAAACTGACTGCTGGAAAACATAGTTTAAAAACGTCAGTGTAGCCACGTTTGCATACCGCATTTATGCATGTTTGCGTTTAGGAGCGTTTTTAAAAGATGACCTCTGGAGACCTTCCAAAATGCCCAGAATGCACTGAAAAATAGTAAAAAGTCAACTATTTCAGACATTTTGAGAGAGAGCAGAAGCAGAGAGAGCAGTATGTGTTGAAATGACCGGTCTTTTCCGGTTGTATTCACTATGGATCCCATCATGAGCATAAAGCGGCATGTTCTCTACCATTTATTCCTTCACGCGAAACCTGGAACTGACTGCACTGGTGTACCGGGTCCATTTGAATACATGGAAAACGCTTTACATGCATTTCTGATTATGAGAAAAGGCTCTGGACAGCATCTGGACATGGAACAGTTAAATATTTGCTTATAAACGCAAGCGCGTTAACCTTGTTTACAAGTGTTTGGCACGCCGGTAAAATTACTCCTGAATGCAGTTTTGGTGCGTTCAAAAAAACGACTGTCAACTCAACTGCCTGTAAACGATGATGTGTACATGGACACATAGGAAAACATTAGGGAGAGTTCAGGGGCTGCTGAAAAAAAAAACGCTGAACAGCTCCTGAACGTCAGTTTAGCAGCTGCAATGTACATGAACCCGTAGGTGTATTGAAGACTTGCTCCATTCGCTAACTGTTGTGCGTCCTCCCACCATGTCCTGTAGTGGTAAATGAGCCGGTGGGAGGAACCACAGTGACAGGGGCTCTTTGTAGTAAATTGAGTGAGTGGTGAACTTTCTGATTTTAGCACGGGTGTAATCTGCTGGGATGTATTAGCAGCTCACTGATTTCACTTGTTTCTTGGAATTGGATTTTAATTAAGACGGTCCATCTTTGCTTATTTTTTTTTCTCCGCACTTATTTTGGAGGCAATTAAACAAGCACCAAGGCTTTAACCACCTCCCGTCGGCCATTGTTTATAAACAGCCGGACGGTGGCAGTGCAGGGGCGGGTGGCCGTTTATAAACGGCCTCCCGACACCCTGCTTGTGCGGGCTCCCTGACAGTGGAACACCGATCGTCGGACGGGACCTCTGTGCGAGGTCCCGATCATGTGATCACTGATTGGCCAATCAGTGATCACATGAAGAGTAGTAAGCAAGATGTCACTTGTGACATCATTACTTACTACGTGTGAAATCTGTGAATGATCACAGAGGTCACATGGTACAAGACTATTCACAGCAGCCTTGTACCATGTGACAAGCGTTGACCAATCACAGCATTTCTCAATGGCTGCAAGAATGCAGCCAGAGAGAAGGAGAAATGTATTGCTTTTACAGCCTTTATGGGGTGTAAAAGCAATCAGTGTAAAAAAAAAAAAAAAAAAAAAAAATCTTCACCCCCCCCAAGTAGTACAGTGCTACCATGGTAACACTGTACTGCTCGGGTGACAGTATGTAAAAAAAAAAAACCCCCATAAATAATAATATAAAAAAAAAAAAAAATGTTTAAAAATTATAATTTTGTTTATAAACTAATTTGGGTTTTTATTTTACTAAAAAGATAACGGAATAAATTTTGGCCAAGATTTATGAAGAAATACTATTTATTTGCAAAATTTTATAAGAAAAACACTTTTTTTCAAAATTTTTGGACATTTGCATTTACATAGCAAAAAAAATAAAAATCCCAGCGGTAAATAAATACCTCCAAAATAAAGCTTTATCTGTCTCAAAAAAAATGCTAAAACATTCATATGGGTACAGTGTTGCATGACCGCGCAATTGTCATTCAAAGTGCGACAGCACTGAAAGCTGAAAATTGGCCTGGACAGGGAGGGGGTAAAAGTGTCCGGACTGGAAGTGGTTAAGAGCAAGCTTATGATTACCATTGGCTGTTCATTCACTGACTACGCAGGCCATCGCAATGATTCTCTTTTCTTTTTTTACTTTTATTTTTATTTTGTCCATTAATTTCAGCCTGCTTGTCAATCCTCATTTATTACATTTTTAGGTATTCCACATCTGATTAATGCTATGGCCCATATTTATGTTTTTGCTATTGCAATATTAAATGCTGGCTTTTATAAACATCTTTAGGCTCAAGCTAACACATGTTGTGGCTGGCGGGCTTTCTTTTGATAATCATTCATTCACTGGTGGTGAATCAGTCTATGTCATTTTAAATCACATGCACATAGAACAGTGGTTCTCAACCTGTGGGTCGCCCCTAAGACCATCGAAAACACATATTTCCAAGGGGTCAAGAGCAGCTACTGTGTAGAAAACACTGCTGTGTTGAAAGAAGCTGCTGTGTGAAAGAAGCTACTGTGTTGAAAGCAGCTACTGTGTTGAAAGCAGCTACTGTGTTGAAAGCAGCTACTGTGTTGAAAGCAGCAGTATTGGAGGTAAAACGACACTTCATGAATTATAATTACTGGGTAAATAATTTTATGGTTGGGGGTCACCACAACATGAGGAACTGTATTAAAGGGTCGTGGCATTAGGAAGGTTGAGAACCACTGACATAGAAGATCCATCTGCAGAGATTGTCAGATTAATTGCTTTATAAATATTCCCCCGTAGCGTCATACGTGTCATATGTGCAGGTCTGAAATATCTAATCGTTGATTTCTTCTCTATAAGGTGTAAGAAGAAGGTTCCTGCCACTAAAAGGTTCAGCATTCATCGGGCTTCCAATGTTCTCACACTGTCGCTAAAGCGATTTGCCAACTTCAGCGGTGGCAAAATAACAAAGGTCAGTAAAATAAATTTAAAGTGGTTCAAAGGCCAAAATGTGTTTTGCTTTAATTCCCTGCAATAAAGTGGTTTGTTAAGGCTGAAGGTTTTTTACTCTCATGTGTCCTATGCATGAAGGTAAAAAAAACCTTCTGTGTGCCCCTACAGCCCCCATCATAGTCACCTGAGCCTGATCTCGATCCAGCGATGTGCACAGGAACCTCAGCTGTCCCGGGTCTCTGCCTTATTATTGGCCGAGACATACAGTTGTGCTCAAAAGTTTTCATACCCTGGCAGAAATTGTGAAATTTTGGCATTGTTATTGAAAATATGACTGAGCATGCCAAAAAAAATGCTCTTTTATTGAAGGATGATGATCATATGAAGCCAATTTATTATCACATAGTTGTTTGGCTCCTTTTTAAATCATAATGATAACAGAAATCATCCAAATGCCCTGGATCAGAAGTCTCCGCCCCCCTGGAATGTTTGGCCTTGGTACAGACACACAAGGTGACACACACGGGTTAAAATGCCAATTAGAGGTTAATGTTCCTCATCTGTGGCTTTTTAAATTGCAATTAGTGTCAGTGTATAAATAGTCAATGAGTTTGTTAGCTCTTACGTGGAAGCACTGATTAGGCTAGATACTGAGCCATGGGGATAAGAAAAGAACTGTCAAAAGTCCTGCGTAGCAAGGTAATGGAACTTTATAAAGATGGAAAAGGACATAAAAAGATGTCCAAAGCCTTGAATATGCCAATCAGTACTGTTAAATCACCTATAAAGTGGAAAGTTCGGGGATCTCTTGATACCAAGCCAAGGTCAGGTAGACCAAGAAAGATTGCAGCCACAACTGACAAAAGAATTGTCCGGGATTCAAAGAAAAACCCACAGGGGACCTCAAAACAAATACAGGCTGCTCTGGAAAAAGATGGTGTGGTTGTTTTTAAGGAGTTCAACTGTAGCAGTGGATGCCATTTGCTCTCTCTCAGTTACAGCCAATGAGTCAATAGAGGGGGGGGGGGAGGCTCAGGAGCCAGCACGCACATACCAGTGAGGCTCAGGAGCCAGCACCACCAACATAACAAGCGACTTGCTATTGGGGCCACTGGTCAAAGGGGAGGAACTAGGAGCACTGGCAGGGGACCCGAAAAGTAGAGGATCAGGGCTGCCCTGTGCAAAACCGCTGCACAGAGCAGGTAAGTATGACATGTTTGTTATAAAATAAAAAACCCTTTAGAATCAGTTTAAGGTAAAAAACGTTTTGTTGTTTTCTGTCCTCCCCCTTCCTTGTGTGAGGGGGGGGAAGAGAGGGGAGAAGAGATCCAGTGCTGTGCACGACTGCATCTCTTCTCCCCTCTCTTCCTTTACATACAGGACCCGAGCACCAGCAGGAGCCATTGGCTACTGCTGCTGTCAGTAAAAATCAGTGAGGAGGAAGCCGGGGGTGGGGCTAAGCCCCAATGTGGGTCTGTGGAGCATGGTTCCATAGACACTCTCACAGCTCTGGGAGCGAGCACGCGTTGTATGCCCCCATAGCCAGCACCTTGCTATGAGGCCACACGTAGAAAAAGAGAAGCCAAAATCGCCAGTGGGGGACCCAAGAAGAAGAGACTCGGGGTCGCTCTGTGTAATACTGTTACATAGAGCAGGTGAGAATAACATGTTAATTATTTTAATGTGAAGAAGTTACCTTTTTAGTGTCACTTTAAATGTTTTATACGCTATATTGGCAAAAGTATTGGTCGGCCTGCCTTTACTCGCACATGCACTTTAATGGCATCCCAGTCTTAGTCCGTAGGGTTCAATATTGAGTTGGCCCCGCCCTTTGCAGCTATAACAGCTTCAACTCTTCTGGGAAGGCCGTCCACAAGGTTTAGGAGGGTGTCTATGGGAAGGTTGGACCATTCTTCCAGAAGCACATTTGTGAGGTCAGGCACTGATGTCGGGGGAGGAGGCCTGGCTCGCAGTCTCCGCTCTAATTCATCCTAAAGGTGTTCTATGGGGTTGAGGTCAGGACTCTGTGCAGGCCAGTCAAGTTCCTCCACCCCAAACTGGCTCCTACATGTCTTTATGGACCTTGCTTTGTGCACTGGTGTGCAGTCATGTTGGAACAGGAAGAGGCCATCCCCAAACTATTCCCACAAAGTTGGGAGCAACTGATGATGCCTTTAAAGTTCCCTTCACTGGAACTAAGGGGCCAAGCCCAACCCCTGAAGAACAACCCCACATCATAATCCCCCCTCCACCAAACTTTACACTTGGCAGACTGTAGTCAGGCAAGTACCGTTCTCCTGGTAACTGCCAAACCCAGACACATCTGTCAAATTGGCAGACAGAGAAGCGTGATTGGTCACTCCAGAGAACATGTCTCCACTGCTCTAGAGTCCAGTGGCGGCGTGCTTTACATTACAGCATCCAACACTTTGCATTGCACTTGGTGATGTAAGGCTTGGATGCAGCTGCTCGGCCATGGAAACCCATTCCATGCAGCTCTCTACGCACTGTTGTTGTGCTAACCTGAAGGCCACACCAAGTTTGGAGGTCTTTAGCTATTGACTCTGCAGACAGTTGGCGACTTCTGCTCACTGTGCGCTTCAGCATGCGCTGTCCCTCCTCTGTCATGTGACGTGGCCTACCACTTGGTGGCTGAGTTGCTGTTGTTCCCAGTTGCTTCCACTTTGTGATAATACCACTAACAGTTGAGCGTGGAATATTTAGTAGCCAGGAAATGTCACGGATGGACTTATTGCACAGGTGACAACCTATCACGGGACCACGCTTGGAGTCACTGAGCTCCTGAGAGCGACCCATTCTTTCACAAATGTTTGTAGAAGCAGTCTGCATGTCTAGGGGCTTGATTATATACACCTGTGTGCATGGAGGTGATTGGAACACCTGAATCCAATGATTTGGAGCGGTGTCACTTATAGTAATATAGAGTATGTATGTATACATAATATATATATGTGTGTGTGTGTTTATATATACTGTATATACATACACACGCACAAAAAATAACTTTCAAAAGTGTAAATGACAACATTCCTGATGTATATAAATGACATCTGTGTCTTACTTTCTGTCTTCTGTAGGATGTCGGTTACCCAGAATTTTTGAACATCCGTCCATACATGTCTCAGTGCAATGGAGACCCGGTTATGTATGCTCTCTATGCAGTCCTTGTGCATTCTGGGTACAGCTGCCATGCTGGACACTACTATTGCTATGTGAAAGTGAGTAGTATTACATATCTCTTACGTAGTCTTAGGCCTCATGTCAGTGGGCGCCGTTTTATTAGATTTGATGTATGTTTGGAATGAAAGTTAAACGCAGGTCATTGACGTACCGTTGACTTTCACCGAGCAGCACACATGGCAGTACATAGGCTAAGTTTGACCTGCTTTGTGTTGTGCTTTGTTTCTGTAAAGCCAGCATGTCCTGTTAAGCTTCATTTAAATTGGCAAAAAAGGTCAACACAAGCTTTTAATATCAAACTATCTCTGTCTGGGAAGATCAGCACAGTCTTGATCGGGTTTCCTAGACAATGAATACTGCTCTGGCCTCCACAGTAATCCATCAATGCCTTCCTGATCATCAGGTTGCCTTCCTTAGTTGCTATGGGAACCCGGTGACCTAGATTTATGCAGGTCTACTGGATGCCTACAGACAACACGCTATGAGGCGGTACTGTTCTCAGACATGTCTGACGTTGATTTTTCTCTTCTCCAGGCCAGTAACGGTCAGTGGTATCAGATGAATGATTCCCTTGTTCATGCCAGTAACATCAAGGTTGTCCTGAATCAGCAGGCCTACGTACTCTTCTATCTGAGGTAACTATATAGCAAAACTATGGATTCACAGCAGTCCCAAAAATCACACCAGGAACTGAGGTTTTATCTTGCGATGAAGATAATGCAGTCCATAAAAGTGTAACCAAAGGCAAAACCTTTTTATTTTTTTATTTTTTTTTATTTTGGGATCGAGTAAGGGAGGGTTTAAACTCCTGTCATGTTTTTTTGCCATCTGTGTCCCATTGGGTAAATTTTCCTTCACTTCCTGTCCCATAGCCAAAACGGGAAGTGAGGAATCCTCCACAGTAAGGAAATCCCTGCGTCACCGTAACTAGTGTCCCCATTGGAAGATTTCTCCTCTATCCCTGTTCTGACGTCAACCCAAAATGTGGGATTTTTTTTTACTTTCACTGATAAATAGGACAAATAGGGTGAGTCTCTTTAACCACTTCCTGTCCGGACACTTTTACCCCCTTCCTGTCCAGGGCAATTTTCAGCTTTCAGCGCTATCACACTTTGAATGACAATTGCGCGGTCATGCAATACTGTACCCATATGAATTTTTTACCATTTTTTTGAGACAGGTAAAGCTTTATTTTGGTGGTATTTATTCACCGCTGGGATTTTTATTTTTTTTGCTATGTAAATGAAAAAGTCCAAAAATTTTGAAAAAAAGTGTTTTTTTTAAATAAAATTTTGCAAATAAATAATATTTCATCATAAATCTTGGCCAAAATTTATTTCATTTTTTTAGTAAAAAAAAAAAAAATCCAAATTAGTTTATAACCAAAAATTATAATTTTTAAACATTTTTTTTTTTTACATTTTTATTTATTTTTTTTTTTATTTTTTACATACTGTCACCCTAGCAGTACAGTGTCACCATGGTGATACTGTACTACTTGTGGGGGGTGATGAAGATTTTTTTTTTTTTTTTACACTGATTGCTTTTACACCCATATAGGATGTAAAAGCAATCATTTCTCTTTCTCTCTGTCTGCATTCTTGCAGTCATTGAGAAGTACTGAGTGAGCTGCGATTGGTCACAGCTTGTCACATGGTACAAGGCTGTTGTGAATAGCCTTGTACCATGTGACCTCTGTGATCATTTACAGATTTCACACGTAGTAAGCAATGATGTCACAAGTGACATCTTGCTTACTACATTGCATGTGATCACTGATTGGCCAATCAGTGATCACATGATCGGGACCTTGTACAGAGGTCCCGTCCAACGATCGGTGTTTCACTGTGTCCAGAGGACACAGCGGGCACCGGATCGCAGTGTTGCGCGCTCCCAGGGAGCGCGCACAGCTAGAAAAGGCAGATGCTGTTTATGAACGGCAACCCGCCCCTGGACTGCCACCGCCCTGCCGTTTATAAACAGCAGGCGGACGGCAAGTTGTTAAAGGGTGCAGAAAGAAGTAAACTGACAGTTCTATTTCTTCTCCGCTCTGTCCAAAGAAGCAAAAAAAAAGGTTTTTTATCCTTTAATGGATAAGTTCACCTTTTGGGAAAAAAAAAAAAAATAAATGCACATTTTTTTTAAGGTAAAAAATATTGCATTTATTAGCCTGGGTTTCACATGTGACTGTGGCTGGTTTGCAGTGCGATTTGTAATAGAGTCCACTGCAATTTCGTTCACAGGTTCAGGTGCAATTCCAATGCGAATTGTTAGTGTATGACATTGGAAATCGCACCTGAATCATCCTGAAAATCGTAGCAGACTTTTTTTTTTTGCAGCCGGCCCACACCGGCTCAATAGAAAAGGATTTAGCTTCACATGTCATGCGAATCGGATGCAGTTCAAAACGCATCGAATTCACATATATGTGAATCATTTCTTTCTTTTTTTTTTTTTTTTTTTCTTTAGGAGCCTGCAGAGCACTGCACCCTCGATCAGCTGATTTTAGGTGCAATCTTGGGCTCCTGCAGATTCTCAGTATACAATAACTGTCTGCCCGCACCTCATACAGACAGGCAGTTACTAGAGATCAGGAAGATCAGTGAACTACGAGAGCGCTCACCAGTCCCTTTGCAGTTCATTGAGAACTTCAGGCCATCATCTGCAATGGCTGAAAGTACTTGTAGTCTATTCATTCACAGGGAACTGAATGAATGATGCAGCCATGTGAGCAGAGTCCCGCACTCCCAGGTTTTTTTTCAAATTGTGGCAGTGGAGAGAAGATCCCCTACCTACTTTGGGGGAGTGGGAAGGGGTGATCGGGGGGAGAAGGTAAAGTTGTTGGAATATGTTATATATTCCACCCTAAAAAAAACAGGTTGAACAGGTAACATGTTCCAAAGGTGAACTTTTCCTTTAAAGAGAATATTTCATTTTGCCCATTCATGGCAAACTGACAGGTTCTCTAGATAGGGCACCCACAACCACCCATCGATGTTCACTGTAGCCGCACTCTCCACTTCTCCGTTTGACTTCTGGATTGCTGCATCTAATCCTTGTCTAGGGTCCATGTTGAGTATTGTGGAGACAGGTGAGGAACTCGCTGCATGAATGAGGTCTTGAAAACTCCAGCTGGCTGAGGAACACTGATTACATTTAGTGTATGACATACGTTGTTAAACGCATTTCAGGGGGTCAGGGCTTCTCCTCCTTCAGGGCTTTGTTAGTGTTAGATCTTTTTTCCTGTCTCTAAGCGCTCTTGCTTTTAAACTCTTTTAAATGCCTCTGTGCATGGGCAAATAGGCTAACATGCAGGGGGATTTAAAGTCAGAGAAACAAACACCAGATGCCTCTAGGAGCAACGTTAAAAACCTCCAGCTTGCAACAGTTACTCCAAAGCGACATTAACCTCCCTAGCGGTATTCCCGAGTGTAGCTCGGGGTAAAATGTCAGTGCCAAAAGCGGTAACCCCGAGCTACACTCGGGCTTACCATGCGGCGCTGCATAGGGAGTCCCTGCAGAGCTTACCTTGTCCTGCGCTCCCCGCGATGTGTCCCCTGCAGAGTCTCAGGCCGATGCCGGCATCCGGCTTCTGTGTTCCGGTCCCTGTGACATCGGGACGTACGGGCGCCGCTGGCAGCGGGAAATGTGAAAATTTTAAAAAATTTCATTTTTTTCAAAACACATTTTTCATAGTAAAACATTCCTGTTTCAACCCATTTCACATACATTTTGTCCCGAGTGCTTTGTCCTGTGCCCTGCCTGCATTTTGTCTGTTTTTTCTGCCTGGAAACTGAGAAACGTCCATGGCGTCCAAAAAGTGTCCCTTTAGGTCAAAAGCAGTTTTAGATCAGCTAGAGAACAACGATAGTAAATCAGAACCACTTGCAGAATTGAGTGATAATGATTCGTGGGGGAAATTCGTCATCAGACACTGAAAATGATTTTGCGACTTTGCTCAGCGATGTGCGAACTTGGCGCTCTATTTCAAATTTCAGTGTTTTTGGTTTGATTATATTATTGAATTAAATGTATATTATTATATTATTATTTTTTATGATTATTTATTAAATTATAATTTATGATTTCATGTTTCAAATTTTATCATACCCGGGATGTTTACTAGACTCTTGTTCGGACAGATTTCAGTGACTTATTCCTAAAAATTACAGCCTACAATAAAAAAAACTACATATTTCCATGCAAAATAATGGTACCGCTTTCAGCACCAAAAATCTGAAATAATCATACCGCCAGGGAGGTTAAAGGTTTGGTTTTTAGTTTTTTAAATATGTTATACTTACCTGCTCTATGCAATACCATACCTTGATCCTTCTCATCTGGGGTCCCCTGCCAGCACTCCTGGCCCCTCCTGTTCAAGAGAAAGAGTCTTTCCATGGGGGCACCCGTGTGGGCTCGCTCCCAAACCATCCTGTCTGTGCCCATTGACACAAAGCCGGCAGCTCGGCCCGCTCCCTCACATCAGAATTTAATTGATAGCAGTGGTAGCCAGTAGCTCCCACTGCTGTCAATCTCCCCAGGAACAAGGGAGACAGTGGCAAGAGACGCTGCTCTCGTGCACATTGCTGGATCAGATCAGGCTTAGGTAAGAATGAGTGTGGGTTGGTCGGATTGTGCAGCATAGAAGGTTTTTCACCTTAACGCATAGAATGTGACAGCTCTGGGCTATTCAAGCACCTGCGCAGTCATATATGGAGGGGCTATAGCACTATAGAGACTATTATTTGAGTAACTCTGAACTTACACAGGGCAGATTTTCTTGCTTCTTGCAGATGAATAGATTGGCAGAGGAGAGAAAGGGGGGGGGGGGGTGAAAAGGTGCTGTAGATGGCATGCCTTGCAACACCACAGGTTGCTTTAAGTTGAACCAATGAAATGGTATACTTGGTCATTTCTGCTTCTTCTATGTGGTTAGAAATCTCTGTTCTTCCGCAGGCTTCCAGAATCCAGAAAGAGTCTTGATGGTTTGGCGTGTAAAATGCCAAATGCTCAGATTTCTCGCCCCAGCTCTGTTCCTCCAACTATCAAGAAGACGCTGTCCAATGGAAGCTTGTCATCCCCACTGATTGGGAAAGTGAGTGAATCCTACACACCTTGTCTGTTTAATTTCTAAGGTAAACAGTGCCCATTCAGCATAAGGGCTAGCTGCCCCTTGGATTTTCTGTTCAGTTGATTCACTAAACCTATGAAGGTAGCTTTTCAGTGCCCTGGCTGACCAGTACCAATCAGTAATTTTCAGGGTGACTTATGAAATTAAAGGGACTTCCGTCTTGGAAGAAATCGGTCACATGGGTTGAATATACATAGGTGGAATCTGCTGGGCCAGTTGAAGGGAGCTGGTGTTGAAATGTAGGCAAAACAAAAATTGGTTGCAAGTCCTTCATTTTGACTTTGTGGGAGGGGCTGGAAAACAAACCTTTAAAGGAGAAGTAAAGGCCATAGCTCTTTTGGCTATACTTCTGTGGGTCACAGGAGTATACTTTGTTTTGCACTCCTGTGACCAATATTCAGTTGACAGCGGGCTAAAGTCCGCTATCGGCTGTTGTCAATCAGCTGTTCCAGACTCTCAGGTGCCTGACTGGCAGCTGGCTCAGCCTCTCAGTGCGCCGCTGAGAGCCTGAGCCAGCTGTTCCCACCCCCTCTACAGCCCAGCACTTCAATGAGTGCTGGAGGGGCACTCCAAAAAGCTGGTGACTGACCGTCACTGCTCTCTGCTCACTGAAGAGTGAGAACCGGGCTAATCAGTGGTAATGTGATTGCTTGGTTCTTGGGCTTAGAGATGGCAAGGGACAGGGGCAGCATGAAACCAATGCTGAATCCACCTAGTATAAATGTTCATTTTCTTAAATTCCCATACTTCTCTTTAAAGAAATTTCAAGTTTTCAATCTTCAAGAAATCTTAGAAAATAGCAGGTCTCCATCTGTGTCTGTTGGCTGGGTGTTATTTTCTTTTGTCACATTCTATTTTCTGCCATCCCACTTCCAGAGACCAGATGGAGTACATGAGAAGAAGTCACCAAATATGGATGACATTGGGGTTCCAGTGTGCCGTACATATCCTCTGGTCAGCAGCAAAGAGCACAACGGAGTACCCCGCACAAGACCCCTCAGTGCCAGCCCTTCTCCAAAACTCAGCTCGAAAACGTCCTACTCTCCTTGTCTTTTGGATGATCATATGAGTCGGGTGAAGAAATCTGCCAATGCCAAGTTCAAGGCATCTCACGAAACTCTGAGTGCGAGCGAAGCAAAAATGCAAGAGGATCCCAAGTCTAGTTGGGATAGCACCAGCCTGAGCTCAATATCCACTTCCAAAACGTCTAACGAAAACCTTGACTCCCCGGAAGACACCGACCAAAAACTGGAAGAGGTGAAAAATGGAAAGCCACAAGAACCACTCTTAAATGACCAATCTGTGTCGGGCACCCCCGCAATCAGGAATGTTCCATCACCTTGCTGCAGCCCTCCTATGGAAGCCGATCGGACGGGGCAAAACTGCACTTTAAAATCTAAGTCCCCTACCTTGGCCAGTGTGTGTGAAGCTTTGACCACCATGTCACCCCCCCACCCGCCAAAAAGCTGGCTTTGTCAGCCAAAAAGGTTAGTTCCTGTGAAGACTTGATAATTTTGTTTTTTCCTGCTCTTCTAAACAGTTGAGATGGTTTCATCAAGTTCTACAAAAACAGATGAAAATAGGTATCTGCTTAGCTTGAGGTGTGAAAGTGGAAGGACAATTCTGTTTTTTTTTGTGGCCAATGCCATTACCCCCTTCCTCTGTATATAGGGATCATCCTTTTCCTATATATTCAAGTGTATGTCCAACCAATTTTTTAAATGTTTTGGATAGAATGTGGAAGGATTAAGACCTTTTGTCAGGTTTTTACTGCTTCCTATGCTATCCAAAATTTAAAGGTTTGGTTGGAGATACATTTTAATTCTCTTGAAGCTCTTGATAATTAAAGGTATGGATAATTTATACAGGTATATTGGTCCCGCTTTGACCACGTTACCTATGTATATACTATACTTGGCCGATGCCCCTGAAAGCTGCAAATCACTAAGAAACCACCATTCCATTGATCTCCACTAGATTCCAGGTCCCGTGCCAAGCGGCTGCCCTGCCTCCTGAACACAGGTGGTTGGCCGCTCCGCATGGCCACCATTCAGAGAATGCTTTGCATTTTCTCAATTAATGTCAAGTGTTCTCTGATCGAACTAAGTGGAGAGCATGACATCTCTGCTCCATATCTGAAATTCTACTTTAATCCCTTCCTTCCACCGCCTCCTGGTGCTTTAAGAAGTTTTAAATTCCAGGAGGTGCGGGTGGGCATTCTGATCATGTGACCACTGTGATTGGTAGTCATAGTGGTCACATGATCGGAAAGCTTCCGATCGCAAATATGCATCAGGAAATTTCCAGTCCCCAAAGGCAACTGTGCGGGGAGCATGCTCTCAGTACAGAAAAGTGTTTACAAAGGGCCGCATATATGTGGTCTCTCGGAGAGAAGTGGTTAAAGGAAAACCTGTGTATTTTCAGTGAATAAGTTGAAGTTATTGTGAAGTTTGCGTGATTGTAATTTTATTGTAATATTACATGCTTGCTTATATGCTTAATAACAGTATTTGCAGGTTCTCCATCTACTGAACAGATAGGGGGAAACAAATGAAACAAAGGGCTCCTATACAAAAAAGAAAAAAAAAAAGTTTAATTTGTTTTAATTGCTTTTCCTGCATGTTAAAGTTGAACTTTGGTCACAAAAATTTTCTTCTAAATATCATACTCAATGGCCACAGAGAATATTTCACTTTGTGTGCACCAGATGGCTTTACAAACCATTGCCTTGTAAATGGAACAGTGACATCATTAGAGGCCAAGTTTTAGCAGCGGATTACTGCACAGATCAGAAAGAAATACTCAAAGCAGACCAAGATTGGAGGGAGAATACAGAAATGTCAATGCTTGCTTATCCTGGAGTTCAGCTTTTAATTTCATTCTACTGATACTGCTGCTATGAAACACATCTGGGTCTCCTGGATAGCGTGACCTGTGCTGGGCACTGTAGTCCTTCTACCAGATGCTACATCAGATAGATATGTATCAGTGTGCAGGAGAAACCACAGTGCCTAGCAGGAGACTGGGCATCCGCGACACCTGAATAGCAGTCTGGGCCAAAACTCTTCAAGAGTAAAAATGTATCATTCTGCCCAATGGAAAAGGAATTATAAAACTTTGGCTTGGTTTCTTTTTTTTTTTTTTTTTAACTTCTATTTCTCAATAGCGACAAGGCCAAAAAAAAAAAGAAACTTACTGGATAGGTTGCCTAAGGGGTCTGTTGGCACCCCAGCTGCACTAATAAAATAGTAGTTAAAAAGAAAATCTGCAACTCTTGTCTGTGTATATGTAAGGTTTTTCTGCGGGTGCTTGTGGTGGCTAGTTACCTTGTCAACATGTAAAGGGAATGTGTATTGACAGTGTATAGTGGCTTTGTGCGTATTTTCTTTATTTACATTGGATGGCTGTGTGCGAGCATCAGTCACCAATCCCCTTCTGCTGAGATCAGGTGACCTGCTGGCCAAGCCATATATCTAGCCACTGTGAGAGCCTGGAGAAGCTTTTCAACAAAGCAGCTGAGTATTAGCATTTTTTTAACCGGTATTTTTTATTTTTTTGTGTTGTTTTGGATGCAGTAGCAAAGTGTTATTTTTGGCATTGTTTCAAATGTAGAGATTTATAGATTAACAAGTGGAGAGGTTTAGGTAGTATTTCACTGTATTCACTCAGTCTCCTGGCTTAGCAGCTGCCAAGATCCAATGTTGGCCACATAAGGAGTGCATTGCGTTCACTTGGTCTGTAGAAGGACCTGTCTTCTACAGACCAAGAGCATACTTATGCGATGGGCAAATAAAGATGTCTACCTCTCTCTCTCTCATTCTCTCTCATTCTGTCTCTCTCTCTCCCCCATTCCCCCCCTCTCTCTCATTCTCTCTCTCATTCTCCCTCTCCCTCTCTAGTTCTATCTCTCGGGCTCTCTCTGATTCTCATTCTCTATCTTTCTCATTCTCTCTCTCTAATTCTCATTCTCTAATTATCTCTCTCTCCCCCTCTCTCTCCCTAATTTTCTCTCACATTCCCCCCTCTCTCTCTCACCTAACTCTCTCTCCTCATTCTCTCTCATTATTTATCTATCTTTCTAGCTGCTAAGATCCAATGTTGGCCACATAAGGAGTGCATTGCTTTCACTTGGTCTGTAGAAAGACCTATCTTCTACAGACCAAAAGCATACTTATGCAATGGGCAAATAAAGATGTCTACCTCTCTCTCTAATTATCTATCTATATCTATCTCTCTCTCTCTCTCTCTCTCTCTCTCTCATATCTATCTATCTAATTTTCCCCCCCCTCTCTCTAATCCCCCCCTCTCTCTCCCCCTCCCCCCCCTCCCCCCCCCCCTCCCCTCTCTCTCCCCCCCCTCCTCCCCCCCCCCCCCTCTCCCCCCCCCCCCCCCCCCCCCCCCTCCTCCCCCCCTCCCCTCCCTCCCCCCCCCCCCCCCCCCCTCCTCCCCCCCCCCCCCCTACCCTCTCCCCCCCCCCCCCCCCCCCCTCCCTCCCTCTCCCCCTCCCTCCCTCCTCCCTCCCCTCCCCCTCTCCCCCCCCCCTCCCCCCCCCCCCCCCTCCCTCCCCCCCCCCTCCCCCCCCCCCCCCCTCCCCCCCCTCCCCCCCCCCTATCCCCCTCCCCCCCCCCCCCCCCCCCTCCCCCCCCCCCCCCCCCCTCCCCCCCCCCCCTCCCCCCCTCTCGCTCCCCCCTCTCCCCCTCTCCCCCTCCCTCTTCCCCCCCCTCCCCCCCCCCCTCCCCCCCCTCTCCCTCCCCCCCCCCCCCCTCCCCCCCCCCCTCCCCCCCCTCTCCCCCCCCCCCCCCCCCTCCCCCCCCCCCCCCCCCCCCCCCCCCCCCCCCCCCCCCCCCCCCCCCCCCCCCCCCTCCCCCCTCCCCCCCCCCCCCCCCTCCCCCCCCCCCCCCCCCCCCCCCCCCCCCCCCCCCCCCCCCCCTCCCCCCCCCCCCCCCCCCCCCCCTCCCCCCCCCCCCCCCCCCCTCTCCCTCCCCCCCCCCCCCCCCCCCCCCCCCCCCCCCCCCCCTCCCCCTCCCCCCCCCCCCCCCCCCCCCCCCCCCCCCCCCCCCCCCCCCCCCCCCCTCTCCCCCCCCCCCCCCCCCCCTCTCTCTCTCCCCCCTCTCTCTCCCCCCCTCTCCTCACCCTCTCTCTTCCTCCCTCCCTCCCCCCCCTCCCCCCTCCCCCCCCCCCCCTCCCCCCTCTCCCCCCCCCCTCCCTCCCCCCCCCCCCCCCCCTCTCTCCCTCTCCCCCTCTCCTCTCCCTCTCTCTCCCCCCCCCCTCTCTCCCCCCTCCCCTCCCCTCTCTCTCTCTCTCTCTCCCCTCCTCCCTCTCCCCCTCCCCCCCCCCTCCCTCCCTCTCTCCCTCTCCTCCCTCCCCTCTCTCCTCCCCTCTCTCTCTCCCCTCTCTCTCTCCCCCCCCTCCTCCTCCCCCCCCCTCTCCGCTCCCCCCCTCTCTCGCTCACCCCCCTCCTCTCCCTCCCCCCCCTCCCTCTCTCCCCCCCCCCCTCTCTCCCCCCCCCTCTCTCTCCCCCCCTCCCTCCTCCCCCCTCCTCCCCCCCCTCTCTCCCCCCCCCTCTCTCACCCCTCCCCCCCCCTCCCTCCCCCCTCTCTCTCCTTCCCTTTCCCCCTCCCCCTACTCCCTCCCTCCCTCCCCCTCCCTCCCCCCTCCCTCCCTCCCCCCCTCACCCCACTCCCTCCCTCCCCCCTCCCCCCCCCCTCCCTCCCTCCCTCCCTCCCCCCCTCCCCCCCTCTCCCTCCACCCCCCCTCCCTCCACCCCCCCCCTCCCCCCCCTCCTCTCCCTCCTCTCTCCCCCCTCTCTCCCTTTCCCCTCCCCCCTCTCTCCCTTTCCCCCCCCCCCTCTCTCCCTCTCTCTAATTCTCTCCCCCCCTCTCTCTCTCTAGTTTCTCTCTCGCTCTCTCTCTAATTCTCTCACTCTCTCCAATTCTCTCTCCCCCTAATGATCTCTCTCATGATCTCTCTTTCTAATTCTCTAACTCTCTCTCTCTCCCCAACTCTCTCTCTCTCCCCAACTCTCTCTCTATCATTCTCTCTCTCTCATTATCTATCTATCTATCTATCTATCTATCTATCTATCTATCTATCTATCTATCTATCTATCTATGAAACCACGTTTTTAAAACATGCATTGATAAGATTGATTAAAATCTGATCATATTTATTTGTATATAAAAACATTAAAAGGTTAACAGGGCTGAATGGTCATGGTGTCTATTATCGATTATCTTCTATTATCAATCACTACATTTGGAAATGCTAGCAGTCTGGCTGTTGTGCTAATCCAATCATATATGCTTTCTATGACCCTGAACAGCTATGTAGATTGATTTTAGCTTTGCTGGCTGATTTCTTCTCCCAGGAAAGTACATCTAGACTTTAAAGGCAGAGGATGAAAATGGCAGCCTGGCGACCAGCATTCTCCAGAAGGTTGTCGTTAGCAGTGGCCTACATACGTTTGGGCTTGTAATACATTTTTGGC